CCAGATCAATAGTGTATCAAAACAAAATTTCTGGGCAGAAATCTAGGTTTCTATTTTGTTTAACATACTTAGGCAGATTAAACAATATACAACATGCCTAAATTCTGTTAGATTTTTCTATTGAAAATTATCTAAGAATGTCTTTAGTCCATATTTTTTTATTTAAAGAATTGAAATAACTTGTTCTGTTGTTATTTAAATGATTTTTTTATCCTTCCATTTCCAGTGGGAAAAAAAAGACAAAATATAACTGGTTAAAGTTATCATTTAAAATACCTAAAAGACACCTAACTTTATAATTGATGCAGACTGTCCCTATTCTGTTAGTAGAGAAATATGTGGTGCACACAATACAAATTTGTGCTCACAGAGCATTTTCTCTCAGGTAAAAAAGCAGGAATCCACTGCACGCTTTGAGGATTTGGACTGTGACCAATAAGTATTAGATGCTTGTAGTGTATTTTATTTCCAGAATGGAACAAAATAATTCAAACAAATGGAAAGGATCAGAAACAAAGGCAGAAAATGCAGCAACTGGCATTCCTTTCCAATTGTTGATACTATAATATTTTGCCAGTGCTCTTGTAATAGTATAATTGTTTTCAAAAACGGCATACTAAGGGTACTGTAGATAAACCACAAATGTGCCTCCAGTGTCTATAAAATCCTAAACAGACTGTAGAAGAGGGTCTTTGGGAATGATAATGATTTAAGCTTGTTATCTTAGGGACGTCTGCTATGCAAGAAGCAAAACAACAGTCTGTTTTAAAAGAATATGTACTATATATCCACATAGACTGGAGCTGAAGAATTAATTTCACCAGACAGAATATTGTGGAGGGTTTATGTGGTAAAAAAACACCAAGGGCTTTGTTGCCATTTATATTTTATTTTCTTAAAGTACTTTATGAATATAGGAAAATGAAGACAGAAGGAAAGAATCAGGCAAGTTGCTAACTTGTTCCCCCACATGCATACTTTGTGATAACAGAGAGTCATTAGATTCTAATTACCAAATGAAGTGGAAGATTCTTTTTCGTTGAAAACTCTCTGTTTATAGCAACAGTGCAATCTACTGAGGAAGAGAGATAGACCGGAGAGGTGAGAGCTAGCCCACAAATCATTGCCCTTGTTTTATGGCTATTTACAAGAAACTGCATAGAATTATAGTGGTTTGCATTCAAGCATCGTTAAAGTGGAAGAAAAATGCCTTGTAGGGGTTAACTTCTTATGCCTGCACTGCAGCCTATTTCTGTCAACACTGGACTTGGGAAACAAACATTTATGCTTTGTGAAATGGAAGTGTATTTTTGAAGACTAGCCGTCAGATATTTTTTGCCCTTCACACTTTCAAATGCTTAGCCTTTTTTCTAAGTTGACTGCAAAGAGCATCAGTTTGCCAGACTAAAAGAGAGATGGTGGGGGATTTGGGGTGGGGGGAGGAAAGAGCAAAAAGTAAGTGAGAAAAAGAATGGGTAAGGGCTGGGTTGTCTTGACAAGTGCCCATGGCATCACCATCAGATATATGAGTTTCAAGTAGAAGATGGCAGGAGGGGTTGGCACAGCACATGCTTCCTTCCAGCCTATGACCTCTGGCTACCTGATTCTTGAGAAGCTTTTCAATCCTTCCAAATGATGTTATTCCAAACTGTCATCTGGTTTACTCGGAGCACACTGTCTCGCAAATAAACATGCAATTTAACTGCAGGTCAAGGTACAGAGCCATTCTGCTAGCAAAATGCCTGAGATACATTAAATGGCACTGACATGAAGAGAGAGATGAAGAGGGATCAAAGTTGTCAGCAGCATGCATGGAATTGGTCTGCACTGGGGGAAAAATGCACCATCGTGCATTAAAATGTATTTTTTAAAAGCCATAATATAGTTGAACATTTAAAATTATGACTTGTCAAATGCTAGGGATTAAGGGACCGAGTATGATAAAATTCAAAGTTCAGGGCAACACTAGCAAGGCACTATCTTCCAGATTTGGGGAGAGCTCAGGGCTGTATGGCTGGAAAATGTTAAGCGGTTAATGGGAAATGAGTGGTATTCTTTCACAGAGTACAGCATATTTAAATGAACCCTTACACTGGTTTATTCTGCAGTACTTTTTCTTTGTGTAGAAGTTTTTTTTTAATATTTTATGATACCAAATTGTTCTGGTTGTTGTTTGTTTTTCTAAACAACAAAAATATTTTAGGTTTCATTTTATGAATTAAAACACAGATATAAAATTAAGCTTTAACAGCTTTGGTATTTTTAAAAGGCTCTCTTCTATTACCCACCACCAAGATTAAAGGTTTACAATGAATGCCTAGTAATAAAATATGATTTTACTAATAGTACTTAAAGAACATGGCATACAATCCCACAATTCTATCTCCTGCATTTTATTTTCTGGAGTATATAAAAAAGAAAGAAACTGCACATGTGCACACCTGTGTATTTTCTATTGACATAAACAAAAGATTTCATTCACAATTAGGGGCAACATATTTCCTGCAGGAGGAACAAGCTGTCCTGGAAAATTGTGTAGAAATATGAAAATCTGAAGAAATGAGAAACTGTTTAAACATTTTTTAAAGTCTGACCAAATATCCCTTCATAAAGGTAGCATTGGAGGGTTCTTTTTAATGTTTTAATGCCTGTTAGCTACTGTAATTGCTAGCAAAGCCCACTGCAATTTAAAATAAAAAGGTAAAAAGTAAAATGCACAAATTACCATATAAATAAAAAGCAGGAAAGTGGAAGCTTTGGGAGGAATATAAAGGAAAATGATTCAACTTGAAACCTCTTTAGAAATTTTATTGCTTTTTTATTTATTTATTTGCTTAATTAAATGCCCCTGAAGTGTGGTGAAACATGGTTATAGTTAAAAAGCAACTGTTACTTTGTAAATCGTAGGGACAAAGGGCTCTCCTGACTTTAAAGTTTCCATGCACGTAAATGTCAATACACTGCCTTCTCCATCATCAGCACTAAATTCACATTGATGCCTCTTTTCTTCTTTGTATTGATCCTTCCATGAGAACGTAGATTTGTATCTGTTAATTAATGCGTCCTGAAACAGCGTTTGTATTAATCAGGCAGATAAGAAAAATTGGATGCCTGCACCCTCATGACAACCGTAAAAGTGCTGGCCCTGATAAAAATCATGGACGGACCTCAATAAAAAAGTTCCTCCTTCCACTCAATAAACTAATCATCCCTGCTTTTAATTATGCGGCAGAAAGATGTGTGGAGATTGGAGAATGTGTAAATCTATTTACTAACAGCAGTGTCTGGGAGGGAGAATGGGCCTGTCACAGGACACTGCTGCAGGCAACGTTCTCTGTCCATCTGCTTCTTGAGAGAGAGGCTGGAGCTAATTGCAAATAGGCCTTCCATTTTAAGACCCTTTCAAATTATTATTTCTGTTTCATTTCATTCCATTTCCCATAAGAAGCGTGGGGCTAGCCCCTTGTCATTTTTCAAAGAGGTTGGCTTTGATGTGGTTGATCTTCTCTTGGGGACATGACACATGTCCTTTTATAAATAAAGAACAGTATACAGTATGGAAAATGTAAATAAGAATTAAGAAATAATGAAAAGGAATGGAGGAAGTGTCTCGATAAAGTCCATCGCTTTTAAAGCATGTATCCTGGCCTGGAGAGAGTTTTGATTTCTTTTAATCAGAATACATTTGGTTCCAAATTGTGCAGCAAGCTGAATCTAAACTGATGTCTAATTCTTGTGCCTTATGTTTTCACCACGGTGTTTGGCAAGATTCTGTGTGTTTTAAGATAAATGAGCCGCAACAACCAAGGTCTGCTCTTTCTATAGGATCCCTGTCAAGGCACAAGTGAGCAGCTGCATAAGTCGCATACAGAGAGCTTTAGACGTGTCTTAAGACCCACCCCACCCCCTTAAGAAAAGCTTGACTAATCCCTTTTGATGATTTTATTAACTCCTGGGTGGTTGCAGGTGCCAACTGGCAAACTACAATATTTCATGGATAGGCCAGGAAATCTCTCCTTTACTGGGACCTCCTGTGATAGGAACTTTGTCAGGCAGAGATAATAAATTAACAGCTACTGTAAATAGGTGCCTGAAAAAGTATGGCTGTAAAGAGGTTTGCCCTTAGTGATCCTATTAAAAAGGAAAGGAGAGATAGTGAAACAAAAGCAAAACCTAAATTCATTATATACACACTCTCTCTCTCTCTCTCTCTCTCTCTCTCTCTCTCTCTCTCTCTCTCTCTCTCTCTCATGGTGTGATTACTATTCACTTGGCACTTTAATGTGCCATTCTGTTATTTAAGCAGTGTGGTGGAGGCAGAAGCTATTATAGAAGTAATTAGCGTCTTTTCTGTAAAGGGTAGGTCTTACCGAGGTTGAAGTTCAAAAAGCACTTTGCTTGGTTGTTGTGATCATCAATTCTATTAAGGTATCAAATTACATCTCCTTTAAAATGATTTTCCCATTTTAGTTTAAAAACACACTCTACCTTTAAAGGAGACCTTGAAATCTTTAAAATATGTTATGGAGGCTATGCAGAAGTAACTGAATTCAATGAGGCTTACTCTGTGGTAAGTAACAGTGTAGATAAAGATTACAGGCTGTCATACCTTTTATTCTTTCTCCTACCAACCATGAGAATTGTTCCTAAAATGTTTCCAGATTTGATATAGGCCATATTAGATACTACTGAATCTGGGTAACAAGTGTTGACAATTTTTTTGAGGAAATGTATTTTTAAATATTGAATAAAATACAACAGGCTTCTCTACCTAAAATTACAATACGCTCAAAGATATACTGAATTGTTTTTATCTGAAGTGCTTTTGTTTTAACTATTTTATGTCTGCTGAGACGAGAGATCTCAGAGGGCAGAATCTGTAAATACACATTGCTAACTTACATAATAAAAACAAGCACAAGGATAAAGTTATAATGCAGAATTATGAGGGCCCAGGACAATTTTAATTATGTTTCTGTGTACTTTCTTTCCCGGTTTAGGATTTTCCACTTTATCGCTTGCTGACCAGATGAGCCTTCTGCAGAGTGCTTGGATGGAGATTTTAATTCTGGGCGTAGTGTACCGATCACTTTCCTTTGAGGATGAGCTTGTCTATGCTGAAGACTATATTATGGATGAAGAACAGTCTAAATTAGCAGGCCTTCTTGACCTCAACAATGCCATCCTGCAACTGGTAAAAAAATACAAGAGCATGAAGCTGGAGAAAGAAGAATTTGTCACCCTCAAAGCTATCGCGCTTGCTAATTCAGGTTGGCAGATTGGCATGATGGCTCATGTCATTTTCCCCCTTCCTCTAATACCTTCTGCACGACAGTTTCTAAATACGATTGTCTAAGAATAAGAAATCCTTAAATCATACTACTGCAGAATAGTGCTGAATGGCTAGAAACAAGGTAGTTTGAATTAAGGGAAGATATGTGATCAGAAATATTTGTTATGCTGAGTTTCCAATTGGGTTAAAAGATGCCGTAAAATTCAAGCAGTATTAACAGCAAAGATGCTTTTCAATAAACATAAATGTCATTCTGCTTAAATCCATTTCATAATCCAGATAAGTCTAATCAGTCTGCTAAAACCCAATAGTATGGAAGGGCCCATGACTAAATGCAATATATGATCTACTTCAATCTAGCTACTAAACACCGTGAACTCAATACCGAAGGTGAACTCTGGTTTTATTAGGGAAGGGAGCAAGTCATTTTTTTAACCTTGTAAAAACTGTACAAATTTGATTTTTATGCTAGTTGGTTAAATGCCTAATGTAACTTGTTCAGAAGGGGGCTAAGAATTCAAGAAAGGATTCTTCTCTGCATTTGAACTTAGAAGTGCTGAAGCAGTGAGCCAGTGTTTGATAAGTGAAAAATCGTTGATTCTTTGTTGTTTTTTCTTTTGTGCCTCTCTAACACTTTATTGTGGTCTTAAGTCCCTCTTAGCATTTGCATAAAGTTCATGATAGATCCCTCTTTAATGACGTGCCGATCATTAGATACCTGCGTGTCGATAACATGCTCTGATGCTATGTACCATTGACAGTCACACCGTGCCCCTCCATCTGCTTTTGTTTTGACCCTATCTTTGAACTTTATCTTGGTTGCTGGCCAGTAGTTTTCCCTTTAATTACAAGAAGGAAACTGTCAATAAAATCTGTTAAATGGGATGCAATGAGTGGCTTGAATGGGCGGATGGCTATTTGTTCAAATTCTGCAGCTTTCAAGGTATTGACAGTTTGTTTTCTGGGGCCATATGTGACGATCAATCTCAGGCTGGGCTCAGCCGCGCTGAAAAATGAAAAACCAGATTGCTTTTGCTTACTTGTGGATGACGACTTGTGATTTGGTGCAGTCCTAGTGAGATGAGGCCTTCTGCCCAAATTGTCCCCCCGAGAGCCAGGATGCGTGACTGTTTTTAGAAATAATTTTTAATTGATTTTGTAATTAACAGTTCATCTACAATATTGACACATGAATCTTCAGATTGATAGGAGGAAAATTGTTTTCAACAATGAAGTTGTACTTTCCGATTTGTCTTCATAATGGGATCTAGCATCTTGAATTTAAATTAGAGGTTTAATTGAAAAACGAACAAAAATGAAGAATAAAAAATATCCATAAGAAATATAAATGCCTTACTCAATTGATATAGGTGTAAGCAGCTGTTGTCATAATGTACTTTCTAGTGGTCATCTCAGATTCTCATTTTATTTGGATATGTTTTCCCAAAATTAAAGTTATAAAATGTTATGAGGTGTTCATATAATTGTCATGATCCATTATGTTTACTGATAAAGTAGATAATCAGAAACCGTGCACAATTTGTATAAAAATACACATTTTAAAACATTTTAATGTTTAATGACAGCAAACCTTCACACATTTGGAAATGACTGAGACAGTATTTTACTCTGACCTGCAGAGATTTAAAATGACATTCACTAAAATCATCAGCTTAGCATAAACATCTGGCTTGATTCAATAATAATTAATGCTCTTTTGTGCTCTAAATCAGTGAACTGATTTAACAGTAACCTTTCAGTAGCCTCCCCTTTCTCTGTATTGTACTCATGCGTAAACAGATACAACAAGATAAAGTGAACAAAACAGCACTGGTATTATAGCCCCAATTCATAGGAATTTGAAATAAAAGGACTTAAAAGAGAACTAAGGGATGTCTGAAAAGCCAACATGTAGCTCTGATTCAGACTATAAAGAGATCCGGATCCAGATCCTGAAGCCAAATTTTCAACGCTTGAATTGAGAGGAAACCTAAGGTATCCAAGAGGCTAGCTGCAGTGAACAGAATATTGGAAGTCCTGGATTCGGTCAAAAATAAAATAAAATAAATTCTTGTTGCTTTTTCGTCTGTCCTTCAAAAATAGGAATTCCTATTATATTTCTGAGACTCAGAAATAAACATTTTACCTCATATCATCTCCAATTAATCTTATTTTGATAAAAGGGAACATATTAGCAAAAACCATCACCTGAGCACGCTCTGATACTCTTAATATATCATGGTAATAATCATAATTGATGGTTTTGTATAACCTAAAACAACTTGGTGTGTTCTCTGGTTCATATGTTGGATTTCTAATTAGGTACTTAAAATGCTGAATGGAAAAAGAAATTCCAATGCATCGGTGAGTGCTCTGCTTACTCACAGAAAGAGAGGTGGGGGAAAAAACACACCTCTGAATATTTTCTAAAGCATGTATGTAGCAATTACTTCAGGCAGGTGAACTCTGCTGTGTAATAAAAGGTGTTCTCTCTCTCGCAGTGCTTTTACTAAGTGTTCCCATGTATTGATTGGGAAATGCCAAATGGAAGACTGTAGGTTCACAGGTTTGTTTGCTTTTAATTATTTCATCAAGAAACAGACATTTGTACTTTTAGGCTGGAAGCTTTTTAAAAGACTTTGTGTCCCAATCAGCTGAACTGCCACGGAATTTCTAACTCTTTCTGCTCACCTAATCTATAGTATCTTTCCCTACTGACTGAACCCTTTAAAATGCTGCTGCTTACTGGAACACTAAAAAGGAGAGGCTTAGGATTTCTATGAAAGCAATGTCTTGGAATGCTGTCAGGTTCCATGTAGCTTTACCTGAAGTAAGGTGGTGGAAAAATAATCTAAAGAATCAATATTTGGAGAGGAGGGGATATGGAGATAGAGGTGAGCAGTATAATGCAAGCAAACATTGAAGAGGCTAACTGGACTAAGAAAATCTAAGCCAGTGGTCCCCAATCTTTCCGACTTGGCAGACCTGCAGAAGGTGGAGAGGGAATAGTTTTATGTGAGTGGCAGGCACATGCACGCTTGCCATTCACACAAATGGAGCTTCGTGCACATGTGCTCATCTGCCACTTCTGTGGCCCGGTTCCAGACTTTGGGTCTGGGTGTTGGGGACCCCTGATCAAACCAAGTTACCTCTCTCTAGAGTTAGGTTGCTTATATTCAGGCTCCGGGAAAGTGCTTTTTTCTCCTTATATTACTACTAGCATTACACACACTGGAGACTTTTTAACAGTCAGTTGCATTATTTTTGCCCATCTATAGCAAGTAGCAGATTTTATTTATGACTCTTATGTGAGTAAACTATTCAATGACCACATTAGCAGTCACTTCTTTCTTCAGCCACTTCGTTGAAATGCCTCTTCCTTCAGCCCTCTGAGACAAAGTTCAAAGGATAATTTTGATGGACCCTAGAGAGGGCTATTAACAATACTGGCCATAATAGAGTGTATACTGCTCCTGTAAATCCATCATTGCTTGTCTTTAGTTGGGGACAAACCAATATTGAACAGCAACTATAACAGCAGCCCTAACATTTCCTAATTGCCCAGCTCATGTCTAAATTTCTTCATGTCTAAACTCTTGGATCTTTGACTTATGATGATCACTCACAGTCTTCTACTGTTGCCTAATTTCATTGTCCTGTTTTCATTTGCAGTATTTACGCTGTCTCCTTCACTTTTTAGTTTCTACTCTGAATTGCTACTGCAACTGTGATGTGACCATGATCTTTTCCTTGTCCTTGCTTCTGTGTTTGCTTGTATGATGTCATTAGAATAGAACAGGATAGACCATTCCAACCAGAATAGGCAGCCAAGAAAAGGATCATTGTCAATTATACTGAACTTTCTGTGATCATTGAGATGCAGCCTGTTCACACATCTGTACATATATACTATTTTCCAATGTAAATAATTGTTCGGGGAATCAGCTCTGATTTAATCTCAAATGCCCCTGAAACCAACTCTTAATCCCAACTTAATCTGAGATTAAGAAAGCTTGGCTCTGGCTCTATTGAACAATTTCTATCTGAATTTTAGTCTTCCCTATTTGAAAAGATTTTAGAATTTAGGCAGTGGGAATACCAATTATATAGAAGCTTGAACTGGGCAAAGTATTACAACTCATTTTAGTCAGATTAGTTGATTATGGATAGAAACAACATTGGTCTCTATAGTGGATATATGAGGGGACCTGGTTAATCCTATTAGAACTGTCAGTGATATCAACTATGGCATCCTTCTAGAATTCCTGTGAGGGATGGGAGGTTCCATTTTTTAAATTTTTATTTTGAGCAGGTAGATTATATTTGGTGATCATAGAGGAAAAACATTTAAGTCCTTGGCAACTCCATCTATGTGGTGTCACAGAACACAATCTCTCCCCAACCCCCACCCCATATCCTTTAGCATCTAAACCAGAGGCCTCCAATCTTTTAGGTGATTGGTTCTGTGGAGAGAGGTTTTTCCACAGACCGGAGGAGGCGTGGTTTCATGTGCTGCCTGCATCCCATGGATGAGGCTTCGCTTGTTTGTGTGGCCCAGTTTCTGGCATGCCATGGTCCGGTGTCGGTCCATTGACTGGGGGTTGGGGGCCTCTGATCTAAACCATTACAACAGTGCTTTTGTATCTGCACTACTTCTTCATTTCTGGGCCCAACTCAGTAAAGTGGTAATAAAGTGGACTGATAAACTCTAAATGGCTTAAGTCCTGGACATGTTGCTGATTGTCTTCTCCATAGAATCTTCTACCCTATACATTCAGCTCAGGGAGGTATTCTCTGGATTCCCCTCGCATGGTATGGCTTAAAGCTTAAATAAGGCAGATCTCCCCTACATCTTCTGTGTGGAATGTGTCAAGGAGTTTCATAAAACCCTTAAGTTTCTGAAGCATTCTAGGGGCTGAAGTGGGCTGGATGATGATGCCAAATGGATGGGTCCTGCAGATGGACAGAGTACCTTAACCACCATTCCACAGTGGCTATTTTTGAACTATTGTTATCATAACACACAGCCAGTATAATAAAGTATTTTTTTGGGGGGGGAATGCCTTATCCCATTTGATGTCTCTTGTAAGACCAGATGATCCCAGAATTGTATTTTTCAGAGTAGCCAATTATTGTTTCACTATTTCTGTTGTATCCAAAAACTGATATTCAGCAATAAATTGATATACTGTAAAGATTCAATATGGTTATCATGACTTTGTCACTGAATCATTTTTTTAATCCCATGATCACATTTAGCACCAAATTCTTAAGAGATTCATAGAATTAGAAGTGGGATGTTATTTAGGCTATGAAATTCATTTGCAAATTCAATAAATATTCATTCTACCTTTTCCACCTCCAGGTCAAACATATTTATTAATTATCCACATTAGGTGAAAATTGATATGTGACCATCTGAAATCCTACTGTGTCAGTTTTTCCTACACACTTAGTCTTTTTATTTAATCTCAGTGGCCATCATTTTACCCTTCGGTTGAAAGTTAATTGCCATTTTGCTGCCTGTTCACCAAGTCTAGATATTACTTTGTGTAAGCTTTTCTGATTTCTAATCCATCCTGAGTATTTTGATGCCATCAGCAAACTTAGCTACTTCACCATTGACCTCCTAACTCAAGATCATTTATGAAGACGTTAAATAGTATTCCCTCTCTTATAAGAAATAGTGATTTGTTCCCTGCTTCCCAGAAGTTTCTGATATATAACAAGGCTTATCCTAATTGTAGTCTTTTACTTTACTGTTCTGGATGAGAACTTTTAACATTAAATTGTTAAATATCATTTTAAATTTTAAAAGTAATGGTTACAGATTAATTATTAAATGTACAGAATCCCAATAAGACACTATTATGTGTAACAATTTAATTTTTAATTCCTTAATTCTGTTAGAAACCTCTAATGAAGTAATTTTGATCATATAATTTTTAATAGTACCTCCAATATGGCCACAAGGGATACGGGTTTTAGATCTAGATTACATAGATATTTTTAAGAGCACTTGTTTGCAGCTTCCTATGCTCTGCCTAAGTGTTAAATGAATAGAACATAAAATAATAGAGTTGGGCGGGACCTCGGAGGTCTTCTAGTCCAACCCCCTGCTTGAGCAGGAGATCCTATATCATTTCAGACAAATGATTGTCCAGTCTCTTTTTGAAAGCCTTCAGTGATGCAGCACCCACAACTTCTCAAGGCAAGTTTCCATATAATATTCCCAAGATAATAGACCCTCCAGACATGATTGACTGCAATTGCTAGATTTCCCAGCCAACATGGAAACTGCAGTTACAATTTATGGGAAATGTACTTGTGGAAAACTATTCTACTGTTCTGAGCTTTCTGCATTTCTATGAAATACTTTTCTAAAAGTATTCCTGCTGATTTCAAAGTTATATCTTAAGTTATATAAACACGGTATATTAAAAGGCAGTAATCATATGATTGTAACTACTGTATAGCAAAGATCTACTTTTTTTCAGAAGATGAATATGGTAATATGTAGTTTATTTAATTTGCATATGTAAAAGAGCTCAGCAAATGGTAGTTAAATTCATGTCAATTATAGCCTTTCGAATGTGGGGTTATATAACTCAAGTTATAGAAAAGAGCTCTGGCGTTGTAATCCTTTCTGGCATGATAAATATCATTCTTGTTTGTTTTACAGACTCTATGCACATAGAAGATGTTGAAGCTGTCCAGAAACTTCAAGATGTCTTACATGAGGCTCTGCAGGATTATGAAGCCGGGCAGCACATGGAAGACCCACGCCGCGCTGGCAAGATGCTGATGACTCTGCCATTACTCAGGCAAACCTCCACCAAGGCTGTGCAGCATTTCTATAATATTAAATTGGAAGGCAAAGTCCCCATGCACAAACTATTTTTGGAAATGCTGGAGGCAAAGGTCTGACCTCAACATCCTGGGCCCTTTAAATTGGCTACGCTGAAACTGCAACAAGAGGGACAACCGAGGGGAAAACTGTGGCAAAGAACCTTTAGCATTACTTTAAGGCAATGAAACTGACTGCACTGATCATTAAGCAGCAAGAATGAGTAGCAGCATCTCTTTTTAGTCTTGATCTTATTTGATGGGGTTCTCCTTCATTTCTCTCTTTTAATGTTATTAGTTCTGATTTGTTCGTAATTTTGCCCCTTTTGCTGCTGAATATATATATGAAATATATATATATGAAATATATATATATATGAAATATATATAAAATATGTATATGTATATGTATATGTATACATATGTAATGCCAGAGGACTTCTTGGAAAGTCCAGTGACAGAGGAATCAAAAACGAAGCATCGTAACTAGCAGTACAGTACAGTACAACACGGTGAACTGACTGAATGAAGTATAACGTTTCATAAGAGGAGCCGCTAATTAGACAACTTCGACGGGAACATCTTGGCTGCTCCTTATCATTGCATTTTCATCTAGATCAGTTGCAGCCATTTGATTCCTTCATTGTTTTTTCAAGTCTTCCAGCTATTTCTTAGGTTAGCTACAATATAACTTTTTCAGGGAATAGTTTGAACTTTATTCATTCATGCAATACTAAAGAAAAGAAAGGTAGATACTGCTTTTTTGTGTGCTGGCTTGAACAATTATGAACATTTAATTAAGGACAAATGAATCCTGCAGGAAGATTTTTTTTTAAGAAAATGTTTTAGTTCTTACTAATGGAAGATTTTTTTTCTACCAGCTTTACCACGTTTCAGCCATTTCTTAATGTGGGGATTTATCTTACACAAGCAATAGTTGAAGGAAAGGTGCATATTATCACGGATGCAATTTATGTTGTGTGCCAGTTTAGTCTAGGACATCCCATTTCTTTGCATGAGCTCCAGTTTATATGTAACCAACTGAAACCAACAAATCGGATTACACCTACATTTCCAGATAGTTTATATGTGTCATGTCAAATAGGAATCTAAAAAAGGAGTTAGTAAGTGCTTCTGTATGGCCAAGCATAAATATGACATGAGATTCTGTGTTACTCTATAAGGTGGCCTATTATTTACAAAACTGGGACTTTTGCATAAAGTCCACCCTACTCTGTCTAGCAATAAGGAAAGAAAATCAATATCAGAGTAGTCAGCCTCTGATCAACCTCTAGAACTTAGCACTTGTACACATTATTTATCAATTTATAAAACTTTATATTTTATATAACTATAGAAATGCCATTTTTAAACAAACAGCCTAACTGGTATACCTACTTTTTCAGCGATTATTGTCAGGACATGAAAGCTGGTCAATTTCAAGACTGTTAAGAGGTGTAATCTAATATTTAAATTAATTAGATGCCCCCACCCACCCATCCAAAGTACAGTCACTAAAAAACCTGGGAACAGGAATCTCCTTCCAATGCTATGCCAATGCACCAGTATTAGTAGCTGCTCCCTGTGCTATGTGAACAACCTTACTCTATGTACACAAATGTAATTAAATTGTATTCCTAACCAACAAAAGAAAAGTAGTTCAGCTTCTCAATGTTTCATGTTTGCTGTGCTTTTTGGAACTTTTTAGGTTGCATTCAAGGACTGTTGTCTTGTTCTTGTAGTGTTTGGATTCTTGTGGCGTGTGTTTATAGACACAGGGTAGAATTAGAGACAATATTGGATGTAAATTTCCTCAGGAGACTACAGTAGTATATTCTATTCCTTCTGGTAATTAAGGTTCTTCATAGTAATAATTAAGAAATTGAAAAACAAAATTCAACCAAGTACTCATTACGGACAAATGTCACATTGAAATATTTTCAAAACAAGGGATAATTTCTCTAACAGTTTAATATAGAATATGTATAGCTTAGAAATAAACTTTGAATATTGCAAAATTATAGGTAAGTCTAATTTTTAAATGCTGTAAATATAGCTTTCATCTCTCCCATGTTATTAACTTGCTCTGTGTTGTTGCTAAGTCTTTTTTTAAAAAAAATGCAGATACGTTTCCAAAAGTATCGCTACTTGTGTGCTTTAAACAAAATGCTGCAGTTAACACTGCAGCAACCTTGTGCTAGAAAAACTGTGTATCTTTCATTAGCTGTATGGGAATTTTCTTGTAGATTGTGTTTTTTCTCAGTAGAGAAGTGACTGTTATGTGATCCTAGATAAATTGTCATTAGCGGTTCATTCAGTTGGCCAAATATCTTGAAATTCACAGTATGATAGGAGTTTGGAAATTGGAAATCCCTTTTGAAAAATGGTAAAATCTTACAACTCCTGGGGGGGGGCAAGAAACAATGTGATTCTATAAAATTATTTATATATATATGTAAGAGTTGAGAATAATTATTTTCCAGAAAAATTGTGCAGGGTTTAAGTTGCAAGTATTACCTACATTATATATGTATATATAAATATCTAATATAAATATTGTTTTCACTGGATCACATTGAGGAACTTGGGTTGCAGGGTTAATATCCCGTCATTGTATTCAGAAAGAAGGACAAATCTACAAAGACTTAAGAGGAAATGAGATATGTTAAAGGAACACAGTGCAATTTTTATTTGATTTTTTTAAAATAATTTTTAGAGCTGCAATGAACAAATATGTCGTGGCTGTACAAATGTTAAATGAAACATAGATACACTGCACAGGCACTAGAATAACAGTCATCTTAAACCTTGCTGAAATAAACATCCACAACCACTTATTTAAAGTGAAGAACTGGGGAAGAATTTCAAGAGGTGTATCTTTTAGTGTAACATGTTTCCTTTCAGGGCATAAAATCCATAGAGCATTTCTCCTGCACAAAGCAATTGAAATGAAAGGGTGCGGTGGTATAAAGCCTCTCTCATCCAGTTTGTTTTGTCCATTCAGTTCAATGTGCAGCAGACATTCCAAATGGATTGTAGCCTGGGCTACCGTTTTCTTTTTTCTCTCTCTCTTATTTAAAGCAATATGATTGTGTGACTCCTGAAAGTTGCACATTTGTTTCAATCAAATCAGATTGTTGTATTTATTCCACTATTTTGCATTTAAATGCTAACATAAAAAATATAAAAAAAAATTAAAACTGCTATTTTTCTTATAGAAGAGAAAATGGGTGTTGGTAATTGTATTTTAATTATTTAAACGTTTCTGTTTACCTGCCTAGGAAAACACTTTATGGCAGTCTTATTGTGCAAAGATCTCAAATGAAGGGAAAACCGAATTAAGCTGCTTATTATAATCCAGGAGTTGCATAATAACCAGTAGTAAAAACAGAAATGAAAAAAAAAACATCTTTAAAGCTGTAGATGTGCTTCACATCTGTAAAGCAATCAACTGTATATTTTTGTGATGTGTATCATAATGTGTGCTCCAAACAATGTCCATTTGTGTAAATGTATTTATTTTATATTGTATATATTGTTAAATGCAAAAAGGAGATAATGGTTCTGTAACTCCAATCAGTTCAGATGTGTAACTCAAATTATTATGCCTTTCAGGATGATGGTAGAGCAATATTAAACAAGCTTCCACTTTTAATTGCTTTTAATTTTTTGTGTTGTGGTTTTTGTTTTCTTTTGTTTTCTTTTTATATATATATGAAGAAATGAAATCAGTAAGCCCCACCTTTAGAAAAGTGGTAAACTGTGCACCCCTAAGCTAATGTAGCCCTATGCTGCATAAGGACTTGCCAAAATGAATTTTGCTGTGGTATAGTCATTTTGCATAACCTTAAATATTCCAATTGTCTTTTGCCACAAAATTCATTCTGACAACTTAATCTTAAAACATATCCACATTAAACCACATCACCAAAAATCAATGTCTTCCTATCAATATCATAGAAGTTAAGATTTTCACAATGTTAAGATTCTATTACCATCTACAATTTTGTCAAGAGCTGAATCCGTTCCATTCATAAAGGTATTATAAGACTGCTTATTAGTTTGAACATAGCCATTTAGGTGACTATTAACTATAATCACTAGTACTTCTCCAGGATCAGAAAAACAGTTTAAAATTAAAGTTATCGGGATAGAAAATGGCATAGTTGATCAGAAAGTTTGATATTTTTTTTTCAACAGAGTCACATCATCTGTTTCCGAAAAGTTCTTCTGGAACCATCCTACTATTTTGGAGGTTTGAGCCCTGTTCTGTTAATATGGCATCACTGCCTCTATTCAACACCTTTCTCATGTTCAGTGATATTTATTTTCTAGACACTTAGTATGTTTCTAAGGACAATCACCTCCCCCTGGGTCCTCACCCTCTCACACTATTGGGATTTGTTACCATAATTAGCTCATGATATTGATATATTCATTTAAATTGTATATTATATATAATTCTCCCTTATATAATAAAATAGAAAAGTTGCTGCTGTGCTTCATCTTTAGTAGTAGTTGGACTTATGTGGATGTAATATTTCATTAACATAATTAACTGGCAGAGTAAGAAAATTATATCTTTCATGTAACTGTACTAACAAGAAGCTAATGCAGCGCTCTATTCATATTTAGTTCTTCATTTGTCTTCAAGACAAAACATAATATTATGTATGCAGTATAAAATAATTGTGAAACAAGACTGAGTTAAATTATCAATATATAAATCAAAGCGATGGCATAATAAAATCCATGTAGTTTTTTTGTTTTTAAATATTATCTAGATAAATAATGTCACTTTTAATTTCCAGGTGCTGCTGAATTAAATGAAACAGCATACATTCACAGTTGCTGGCACTTTTCCACTTTTAATGAGCATTTCTATAAAATATTTTGTTCAAGGTTGACAATATTAAACCACTTTCGTGAAGTCTTGTGTTCCTTTAATGTTCCTCTAACTTAATAAATAATTGTTGAGCCAAGAAAGTATTTTAATATATTTCTATCTTGCTGTTTTTGGTGAATCATGCCCAAACTACAGATTTTTAAAATTTACAACAAAAATATTGAATAGAAAGACCAAAGTAAAGAGTGAGATTAAAGGAGAAACAGAAAATAGTCAATACTACTCACCAGTGCTGTAAAACCTAGCCTTGGCTTAAAATAGAAAAGTTTTTACATAACAGCAAAATGCTATACACACACACACACACACACACACACATATATATATTCTGAGGTTTTTGCGGGTGTTTGTATGTAGGTCTTTCGTTATTCGGGTTTTCTCCCGCGTAAAATTGGAAGTGTCTTGGTGAAATTGACTTTAAAAATACCAGAACCATTGCCAAAAATGAACATTTTAATAACAGAATAATCAGATAGAGATAGAAAAACGCCCACACAGCATGAACAAGGGAGATGATACCTCCCGCCTACCAGCCATTTGGAAACCTGCCCTTATTGACAAACGACTCCCTAACACAAAAAATGATACCAGACCCACACTCACAAAAACCACACAGGATGTCACCACCACACATCCACGCAAAAAACAAACCCAAAGCCACACCGATGACGAGGCACGACCACAAACCAGAAGCCAGACCACAGCTGCATCATTAGCCACTTTAAACCCCTCCAATCCATACATGAAGCAAACTGACACCCTCCATGAAGAGGAGGCACGACCACGAACGCGAAGCCAAAAAATAGCAAGGCAGCCCAAAATCTTAAACCCCTCTGCAACTCAGACTAACCTGAGCACAACCAAACAGAACACTCCCCCAGCCAATCAGAGCACAGAGCACAGCCAAGCCCCTAACCAATCAGAACACACCTCCACCCAATCAGAACACAGCCAAGCTCCCACCCAATCAGTTCATACCCCCACTGGCAGTTAAAAGGAAGAAACAGCTAAGACCACACATTGCTGCTCAAAGCACGAAGCTGAAAACACCAGCCTGAAGATGACGAATGGGACTTCGTCGAAACGTCGCCAAGACACTTCCAATTTTACGCGGGAGAAAACCCGAACAACCAAAGACCTACATACAAATACCCACGAAAACCTCAGAGAAAGCCACACATATATATCAAACAGATATTCTAGAATCAGCCAGCCAGTGTCATTGAGTATCAAGTCAATCAAGAACATGGTCAAAAAAGTAATATGTACAAGAAACATGGAAACGGGCAGTAAGAGCACTTGAATTGGTTCAAAATGAAGCGCATCAAGTGTGCAAGTGTAAGTATTGTCTTGCTGGTTTTTTTAAATTTTAAACCAAAGTGTTACAGACTTTCTATTATACTCTTTTAAATTTCCATTTTTCACCAGCATGTAGCTTTGAATTTAGGAGTAGTAAAAATGGGATTCACCTTTCAATTCCATGATACAACCTTGAAGGGAATATCTATCTTATTTATATTAGTTTTTAAGCTAAACTTACTTGGCAATTTAGGAATGTTTTCTGCACTTTTACTAGTGAAGAAAACTGTTCCTATAGGAAAATATATTGACTAGTGGAATATACAAATAAAACAGTAAAGAGAGACCCATTTTTTTCTTCCTATAACACCAAATTTTCAAAATGAGGGCTGAAATATCCAGAGTATTGCCATTTATTGGTCATTATGACTACAGGCAATGTTTGAGTTTCTTTTCACTCCCTTTCCTTGTCTAGTATTTAGGCTTGTGATATTTTCAAAAGCTGCTTATGTGAGTGCACCATTATGAACATTAACTGAATTCTAAGTTTCTCTCAGTAGAATATGGCACAGAAATAAGTTGCCTTTAATATATATTATAATAAGAAGAAATAATCAATGTAGGTAGACAGTATGCATTCCTAATTCTTAAGCTCTGAATAAAACAGCCAGAAATGTTAGAGTAAAAAAAAAAATTCCAAAACAGCTGGATCTGTAACTCTTACAAATATTACCATCCAACCCTTTTTCTTCATATCAGCCACAAAGCAATTTATAGGATTCAAGAAAACTCCAAGATAAAATGAACATTGGATTATATACATTTGTGCTGCTAAACTATGGTAGCTTTCTACAATGTCATTTAATTTTCCTCTGTAATTTTATGTGACTGTGGTTTTAATATTAAAACCAATTTAAAAAGTATATAAGCTTATTAAAGCTAGTATCATGAGAGATATTTTTTACTCTAGTGAAAAGCAGACTTAGAGCTATGACATCCCTTCTTTCATTGAGACTATGCAGTGGTACAGATTTGCAGTGTGTTGCCATTGATACTAGAGCAGATTACTAAAGGCTGCTTTCTTTAATACCCCAGGTCTCAATAAAAGAGAAAAGACTAATGTTCTGCTCTGTTCAGAGTTATACTGACAGACATAAGACTCTCTCTGCCCCCTTCCATGCATAATTATTTAGAAACAATAACTAGAAGCTGCATTATCTAAGCACAGCTTGATGTTGCTTAAAACAGCTTTTCAAAGTTTTTTGAAACCCCAGGAGAGAGGGTGCCATTTTTATCTCTAGGGTGATGTTGTTGACAATCACAACAGAGAAGTCATGCTTCCTTGATTCCACAAAAGGATAATATTTAATATAGGGGAACTGAAGCAACCCACTCTGCTGGAATGAACTGGTGGCAGAAATGATGGAGATAAGCAGTCTCTCAGGTATACAGTTCCTATGCCATACAGGCCTTTCTAGGTAATAATCAAGACCTTGAATTGCACCTGGAAGCCATTGGCAACCAATGCAGCTTGCATAGCAGTAGTTACACATGTGCATACTGAGAAACATTTGAGAAGCATTTGAAACTAACTATAGCTTCTGAGTGTTCATCAAGGGCAGTCTCACAGAGAGAGCATTGCAATAATGTCTAATATTATATGAGGATCTGTCTCACCCAATGGGATTAGCCCACCCCATCCTATACCATTCCAGACAAATATTGTCCAATCCCTTCTTAAAAACCTCAAGTGATGATGCAACCACAACTTCTGAAGGCAAGCCATTCCACAGATTAATTATTCTCACTGTCAGGAAATTTCTTCTTAGTTCTAGGTTAGTTCTCTTTTTGATAAGTTTCCATCTGTTACTTCTTTCCTTCAGGTGCTTTGCAGAATAGATTGTCCCCTCTTCTTTGTGACAGCCCCTCAAATCTTGGAAGACAGCTATCATGTCACCCCTTTTCCTTTCATCATTAGTCTAGACATATCCAGTTTCTGCAACTTTCATCACGTCTAATCATCTTTGTTGCTCTTCTCTACACTTTCTAGAGTCTCAATACCCTTTTTATATTGCAGTGACCAAAACTGGATGCAGTATTCCAAATATGATCTTACTAAAATAGTATATAGCTGTTCTAATACTTCACATGATCTTGATATACTGTTGATGTAGCCTAAGACTGCAGTTGTCTTAGGATATCTCATTTTTCCTTGAATTTCTGATTCTGAAAAAAAAATAAACATGATGAAATATGTTCCTTTAGAAATATAGATAGAATATAAAGTATTGATAGGCTGAAATAAATTATCTCTAATTACAGAATTATGTTGATGACAAACAGTACTTGTAAGAGCAAGTGCTACTTCAAAGATACACTGCTATTTCAAACATAAAGAAATATTCAATACTTCCCTTTTTGTTCACTTATTGAAAATGGCAGATTTATTCTTTTTCTGCC